AGTTTTTTCGATTGTCCATGTAGTTATATTTTTCCTGAAACTTGAAGTAATTTCAATGAGAAATAGTAAGTAAATACTCGTTCAGTTCTGCCTACACGCTCAGCGTGTTCACAAAGGTTCGTTCACAAAATGGGTAAATATATTTAAATAGCAGACTTCTATATAATTTGAAAACACATCTCACCCTCATGATATGTTTCATAAATACAAAATTTAAAGCATATCACATTTTGATGCTGGTCAAAATTGCAACAAGTCGAACTTGATTATGTTGCGGGTCGAACTTACCGGATCGAAAGTGCAACGGGGCGAAACTGTCCTCGGGCTGATCAACTGTAATTCGTTTTCACCTATTATCAAGTACTGAAGTCTGTTGGTATCCAAATAAAATACATGTATTTCAACAAAACATATTTTTTACCTTCAAAAATTTTTTAATCTCATAACAAATGAAATAAGAGAAATTAAATGTAAGATCAAATGTAAGATTACAAGATTAGTAAAGAGAAACATTGCAAATGAGTCAAAAGCTTTAAAAGAGAAGAAAACTGTTGTGTGACAACAAGATTCTTATATCTCCTTGAAACCATGTCCTCAATGAAAACAAAATACCAGGAATTTGTAATAATTCTTTGCTTGCTTGCCCAAATCCTCAGCAAAAACAAAAATTGGGTTTTATCTCCAAAGATAGTTCATTTAACCCTTCCTTCCCAAGACTCTGAAGGTGAAGCTGAAGAGTCATGGGCAGCAGTTCTTTATAACTTTGATCGACAAAAGTTTATCTATTCTTCCAAAACGAACTTTAGGTGAGTTCACACCCTACGATCGCAAGGGACTTGCAGTAATCTTTAGATTTGGAGAAATCTGATATCTCTTATTCTCATAATGACTTGTATTTATTTCGTATTTTAGTCTGACTACCGGGAGCCCGGCTTGGAGATGCTAAATCGGTAAAACGATCACGTTTCATATATTGATGACATTACATAATAATCGTAACTCAATACACCCATATACTGAAACGGTCACTACGTAATAGAACTTGTAATGCAATAGTGTTAGATGCCCCGTAAGAAGAGAGAAAGGAGAGAAGGGCTGAAACAAAATATAGTGACCCTTTTAAAACCTCGATTTTCTAGTCTTGCTTTAGAGTTAGGGCTCTTAAACCTGGATCAAGCGAATGAGTATAGATTAAACCAACTGAGGGAGCGCTGATTTCATAACTTGTGAGCAGTTCTCATGACATTTTCGGCAATTTCGGCAAGCTTGGTTTAAAGTTATGTGCGCCAGCAGTTGATGGGACACGTTTATAATTAACCTAGCCTGATCTGCCATTTTTCAATGAAAATAACAAAAGATCTTGACAGGTAGAAATGTTTTTCCCCCCGTTTTTTTCCAGAAGTGACTTTGACTCTAGTTGCTGAAGGAAAGACGGTTTTTAGGAGACGTCCGAGTTCTCTGTTATTATTTTCTATATTTTCTCTATTCTGAACCATAAGCCGGTAGCTCTTCGTATGTTTCGGCGATTGATATTTCTTCAGAGCCAACTTCATTGTTTCAAGTAGCCTGTCCTCAAAGTTCACGAAAATAATTCTTAGTTTATAATCGATAACAAACTCATTT